TAGTTACAGATGCCTTCGTACGGTACCTATGATACGGAACCTTCTGTCTTTTGAAGACAAAAAGTTTCATACTAAACCTTTGCTGCGGAACCTTTGTTCTCAGTTTTTCCTGTAAGGTTCTCTTCAGAACCTTCATTTTACTTAACCAAAAAAGGATCGTCCCGTGTATCGGAGGGAAGACCCTTTTTCGGCTTGGTAAAACTCCTTTTTTTTACAGTGCATTTTCATTAGTAATATATGATTTTAATAAAGATAATCGATTAGATATACTTATAACAAATAATGGTACAAATAATATTGGATTATTTTTTGGTTACGATCCTGGTGCTTTTCAAAAATCTATTCAATATTCAACTGATTTTCGTCCATTATCAATTGCTCTTGCTGATCTTAATAACGATAATTATCTCGATTTTGTTACTGCGAATTATGGTCCAAATACAATTGGCATTTTTTATGGATTATCTAATGGAACATTTAATAAACAAATAATATATTCAACAGGTTTATCATCTGGTCCAAATGCTGTTAATTCTGATGATTTGGATAATGATAATTATATTGATATTGTTGTTGCTAATTCAATTCTTAATAATATTGGAATATTTTTTAATCATGGTAATGGAACATTTAATAAACAAATAACATTTTCAACTGGATTTTATTCTCGGCCATATTCATTAGTTGTTAATGATTTAAATAATGATGGGATTTTAGGTATAATAACTGCTAATCGTCATAGTGATACAATTGATATTTTAATTGGATTTGGTGATAGATCATTTGCAAATGTTTTAACATATAAAACAGGATCATATTATACACCATATTCAATTAATATTGGTAATTTTAATAATCATAATCAATCAGATATTGTTGTTGCAAATCGTGATGTTAATAAAATAAGTATATTTCTTGGATTTGGTAATGGAACATTTGCCAATTTAACAACATATTTAACAGGTTCTATTCCATGTTCAACTCCTATTGATTATTTAAATAATGATCAATATTTAGATATTGTTATAAGTAATTCAAATTCAAATAATATTAGCATTGTTTTTGGTTATAGTGATGGAACATTTACTAAACAAATAACTTGTTCAACAGGTATTAATTCTAATCCATATTGTTCTTATAAATGATTTAAATCATGATCAAAAATTAGATATTATTGTTGCTAATCATGGTACTGGAACTATTGGAATCTTTTTTGGATTATTTAATGAAATCTTCCTCGTGAATGAAGAAAATGAAATATATTTCTTTTATATCGTTGATGTTATTTAGATCTAATAACATTTTCAATCTTGCTCAGGTGTCATCGCGAACGTGCTTCTTTTTGATATTTTTCATCCCGAGGCTTCCTTTCAAATTCAATGAAAATAACGGTCACTCTTTAAGGAAAAATGCTAATATCATAGAAAAAATTATATTAAAAACTGAACTTATTGGAATAGAACGAATTGCGATTCGAAAATGAACCCAGGTCGAACAATCCCATACTCGGATCCGAAACATGGATTTCCTGGATTTTCTAAGGGCCATCATAGAATATAGCTAGAAAGATCGCTCATAAAATTTGTAACAACCGACAGGATTTTTCTAGTCGGATTCCAATGCAATTCTGTTTCCAGGGATCCGATCGGATTTTGTCAGATGGTCGGATTCGGTAAGATCCGATCGGATCTGTTGACCTGGGAACTAAAGATAGAAATTTACAGTTAGAAAATTCATTTTAAAAAAATCATTTTATTGATAAATGAAAAATA